CTACAAACTAATTCTTGAAAAACAGAAAGTCTTCATCATAAAGGAGAGAACTGGTGCGAAACTACTTCTACACTATCTGGAAAGTTCTCGTTGGCTTTTATTGACTGTTGCATGTCGATCTTGGGGGTAACAAAACAGAGATTACTCTAAAAAGTCAGTTTAATTAATAGCACGCGACAAACATTAATCTTGTCTATAGAATAGGTGATTAGCTCAAATATTGATAATAGATTCAGCAAAATTAGTTTACAGTAGTGAGAAGACAATCATGAGACACACACTCCCACGATAACTAATTATCAAAACGTGATTAACCGTAAGAATGAAGTTGAGACAGTCTGAGATAGCTTAGACAATTCAATTTTGATAAATTATTCGTGTTGAATTCGCTCAGATTATTGATTGTTTGAATCTTGAAGCGAAATAATTACAAGTTGTTTCGATATTTGGTGGAGTCATTGTGTGTTACAAATAGACATTTTGATAATGTCGTGACAACAACAATGACCCCAATCTACTGCTGAAGATATTCAACTGTTGCCATTCAGCAATAAAATTCACTCTTGAAATGGAAAACGAATCAAAAGTTCCGTTTCTTGATGTGGAACTAACAAGAAGAACTAATGGGAGCCTAAGAAGATCGATCCATAGAAAAGCTGCTTGGAATGGTCAACTAACAAGCTTCTATAGCTATATACCCATTCATCAAAAGCGGAATTTAATTAAATCACTTGCCACCCGCATCCAACGAATCTGTGGTTGCAATGTTCTAGAAACAGAATTAGATATTCAAGTGAACAGTCGTCAAGATTTGACAGAATGGTTCTAAAATATTTGGCCGCCGAGTGAGAAGTAGACATTCGTAAAAAACTATATTTGTGAAATCTCAGACCAGATTGCCGAACGAAAAGTTGGAATAACTCATTTCAAATATAATTTTTTACAGAATTAGATATTTTGAGAGAAATCTTCATCCAAAATGGATACCCACCAAGATTCATTGACAAAAATATCAAACCAAGAATTTGGAAATGAAACTTCACTTGCGCCTAAAGAAAAACTCTACATGAACTTGGATTTCAAGGGAGTTTTAACAGGCGATATTCTCAAGAGAAGGATCACATCATCTCTGAGAAGAACATTCTTTGTAGCAGCGCTAACAATAGTGTTCTCCAGTAGCTCACTGATCTGCAGAAGCCTCAAGGACAAGATCCCGCATCTGACCACTTCTATGTGCATATATCAGTTCACCCGCTGCTGTGGAGCTAGGTACATCGGTCGTTCGACGCGCACCCTATCCAAGAGGATTCAAGAACACTATCCAGCATGGTTGCGAAAAGGCAATAGTGGTGCAATAAGGAGTGCGATAATTGAACACCTGGTTAACACTGATCATTCCATCTCAACAAACACCTCCTTCAAAGTAATCTACAGAGTGAAGAATAACCTACCAAAGGAAATACGGTTTCGTCTTTTTTGTATCGCTGAAGCTCTGGCCATTCACATAGAAAAACCGGAGCTGTGCGTACAAAACAGAATTATTCAACCACTCCTACTGTCATGGTAACAACTTTGTTGATTTTCGATGACTTAATTCTTTTATTTTCCTTTTTTTCTAATTGCTTATAATTCTTGTATTCATTTAGAACTCTTACATAATTTCGTATTATCTACTTTGTTCCTATGTGTATCCTGAGTAAAACTCAATCATCAAACTATTCATATTATTATATAACTTCGTTGTAACAACTGTTTGTGACAAATCATCACCTTTGTTACTACCCTAAAACCTAATTTTCTTGACTGATTTTGTATTACGCAACTCCAATTACCAATCTTCACCTGTTTAGTTAAAATAACCATAACCAATTGTATTTTTGTTTGACAAACTAAATGTACACATACATACAAAATAACACATATATTTGCGATTGTACAGCTAAGAAAATGAATTCGTCGGAAAGAGACTCATCGCTGAACTACGTGTTTTTTTTTCATAAATGCCTGAATGGGGATTATCCATGAATGTCGTGATCACCAGCTTTGTGGTTGTCTCATTTATTACTATTTCTACTGATTTCATATCATCAGTTTTCTGCATGGATTTATAAAAGTTAAAATACACCATAGTGGTCAATTTACTAGTCCGATTGAAGATCACTCACTAGTGAAGCATAATCTTTCAATGACCAGGCAAACACAAATCTATAGATTTTTATCAATGTATTTTAGAAAAATCAGCATTTTTACTTAACGTGAAGGAAACTGTCTACGAAAATTTGTATAGATTTATTAACGGATTTCAAATTTCTGAACAGAGAGGATACCGTACAGAAAGCATAGTAAATTTGAACGTAGTCGATAACTGCAAGCGCATACTTCTGCGAAACGTGTTTTAAATCTAGTTAGCCGATTCAGTTAATTGTGTGCGTCGGTGGCACAGCAGTAGAATGCTCGCCAACCATGAAGGTGGTTCGGGGTTTGACCCCCGGCCACTGGACGCACTCCTGTACCTCGCTAAGCCAGTAATAAGACTGGAGAGGGCTAGCAACCCCAGCCCGTAAAAATAAACACCACTGCGACCGAAACTTCAAACCTTTAGCTTGAAACCCTATGTTCCACTGGGAACGTAAAGAAATAAAAAAAGATTCAGTTAATTCCAGTGATTTTGCTTAAAAAAATGCTGACGGTTAAGATTAAGACATATGTTGACATGTACATAAGAGGTGAAATGATCGTGATACTGTGGTGAGTGCTACTTATAATCAGATATAAGTAGTATATCAGTACACGAATTCAGAAAAGTAACAATATGTTTTGGGGCACTGGAAAGACCCAATCGAAGAAGAGAACTGTGAGAAGAACGTAAAACACTGTGCAAAATCCAACAAGCTATCAAATTTGGTGATATTCGACTAGTTTGCAAATGGTGTGCAAATAAAGACTTAGAGTATAAGGTATACCGAATTTGTGTACTTACAATGCGTTTGTCCTAACGAACATCGCCTTCGAACCTCATCTGTATTTTGTTCTTTACAATACCACTGTTAAAGTCCACTACTTTGAAACAGGCAATAGGGAATATTTATCCCGTTGTTTTATGCAGATGAATAAAGAGATGAATGTCAAGTGTAAGGAGTACTATCATACACCACAGTAAGACAAAAATAACAAGAGACAGAATAGTCAGTTTTAAGATTGTGCAGTCACACGACTGGTCTCGTGTGTAGCGGAGATTATGACAGCATCTTAAGGACTGACACGATATAAGATACATATTGTTCAGTCATTGGGAAACTCACGGAATCCTTCGAAGTGACGACAGGAGTAAGACAAGCTGGCTGCCTATTACCTCCAATGATTTTACTGATTGCAGTAGACTGGATAATGCGACAGACAGCGGGTAACAAGGAGACAGGCATAAAATGGACCTACACAAAAACTTGGAGGATCTGGACTTCGCCGATGATATTTGTCTGATTTCCCACGAACTTGAAGATATGCAAGTGAAAAGCAACAAGTTGGCAGAAGAAGCATCCAGAGAAGATAGAACTTCAGGTGACATAGAGAAAACAGAGGTAATCAAGATTCCTGGACAAGAACAACAACAACAGACAACGATCAGCATAAATGGGAGGAACCTGAAAGAAACAGCCTTTTACCTACCTGGGAAGCATCGTTTCAACTACAGGCGAATGGAACTGACGAGGATATCAAAGCAAAAATCGGAAAAGCAAGACAAGCTTTCACTACTCTCAAGTCTGTGTGGAGGTCAACAGCACTCAGCATCAAAAATAAGATCCGGATTTTCAACTCGAATGTGAAGTCAGTGCTACTATACGGATCATAGACTTGGCGCCGCGCTACGAAGAGCGCTTCAAACAAACTACAGACTTTCATCAACAGCTGTGTTCGCTTAATACTCAAGACTACATGGCCAGAAAAGATCAGCAAAAGTGAGGGATCTCTGGGGGCTAACCAACCCAGCAGGGACCGATTGTGCAACAAACAAGCAAGAAGAAATGGAGGTGGATTGATCATACTCTGAGAAAACAAACCACCACCAAGTGATATCGCACGCCAGGTCATCACTCGAGTGAAAGGAGAATGGGAAGCAGCAAGTTGGTCGTCAGTGAGAGGGTGACACAGAGGAGGTCATGTGAATAGGATATGGAAGCAATTGGGCAGACGTGGAGCTGGGTGAAAGTACTGACGGAGAACTGAACGCAACGGAGACGTGCGGCTGAAGTCCTATGTTCCTCTAGGAACTAAAAGAGACAATAATAATTGTTACGTCATTCAAAAGACTTAAGGATTATTATGAACAAACTAGTAGTTTGAACACACTCTGATGTATTAGAATAGCCTCGCCAACATGCTCTTTACCGTTTACACAAGATACAATCCCAATGACTATCTCAAATCGTACACCGAAATGGAAAAGAATAGTACAGAATAACAATAAGTAATCAGACATAAAAGTAATGAAATTCCTTGACTGTAAGACTTCTCCTCACAGATATGTAATATCCACGAAGTTTTAAAAAAAGGTTTGTCAACATTGTAAGTTATAATGAAGAAACAAAAATTCAAATGTCTTAGTATTCATTACAGTGCTCAGAGTATTTAGTAGAAAAGAAAATAGGCAAATATAGGAAGTGACAATTCTAGTTTCAACAAATTTCAGGTCAGTTGCAGTCATACACCCTGGGTCCAGAAAAGAATTACTATGAATAGTCCTATCGAAGTTCAATCTCTGATAAATCTGACTAAAGCAAAGGTTACCAGCACTGGATATAAGTGCATTATGATCATTATCAGTATTATTAGCAGTATTATGAAGAAAGACTCAGAATCGTACCTAACAATAACAGCAGTTCACCAATTCACTGGTTAGAAATAAGAAGCAAAAAATTATCCAATCAAACCACATATTTATATATATATATATCAAGGGTGGCAGGTGTTCTTGTTCATGTGAATTAAAAAATATACAATATTCACTGGTCGAATTCAATTGGATTGACAATTTTTACAACTTTTCCAAGTGCGATTGTTTTTCCTTCATCACGTAGGGTGAAACGACCAAGCTGTGAGAAGTCCTGAAATTTTTCTAAACAAATTGCACCGCCTATAACCTAAAATTGAGGAAAATTATTAAAAGGATTCATGATAATTCACGATAATAGGATAACAAGCTAAATATAAAAAAAATAACAGAAATGTGAGTCATATATATATATATATATATATATATATATGAGCCTAGTTTAACCATTAAATTCACATGGCGACTCTGAAATATTTTGCGACGTGTGTTGTGTATTTTACTACTAAATGTTACTCTGTTTATACTGCTTCCACAAACCGTCTGGTACAACAGAGGGTGGGTAGACTACGGTCTTCCTCTCGAGATGCTCTTATGTGGCTACACGTTCATAGCCTCTTTCTGCAAGGTAAGTTCTATTCACTGTTGTCACGCCAAAATAAAAGGGTGACGGAGAACATCCCGGAACTTACAAATGAACTGGTGGACATACACATCTACCTAGGGTAGCTGTAAAACACTGATTTTAAACCTATGGCATGGGCTCTACAGTCCGAATGGATCAAAAGGTATATGAACCTTTATTGGTCACTGGGGAAGGCAGTTCCACTGCCTTGTGGATCAAACTTCAAGTCAAAGGCTCAGGGGTGGCGGTTCCTTAAGACTGCCACTTGTTTCGGTCTGGATGTTTGAGCAGTACCGCAGCTCTCGTACAGGTTATAAGATTTTGTGTGGCACTTTTCTCTCAGTGCCCATTATATGCCAAGTTTGTGTTTTTTGAAAAAATTTCAAACTGAACTGTGGTTAAAGGAAATCAACAGAGGAGCTGTGGGTTAGTAGACTCTTAATCAATAGGTTACAGGCTTAACTGACTGACTGACTGGTTTCAACGTAAAACTTTGCAAAGATGTGCAGCAGTTCGAGTCACCACACTCCAAGTAGCACACAAAGCAAGAGAAGAAAGGAAAAAGAAATGCAAAGCAGAGACAATAAACAGAGATATGAGGCGAAAAGAATAGTTATATGGAAGAACCATATGGTTTGATTGGGTATTATAATTCACACGGAGTGGTTGCATCTGCGCCACTGACAACGATTTTGAGCCGATTTATTAGCTTGTGTGATAAAGTGTTGAATGTGTGGGCGGAAAGTATTCAATAATTGAAAATTGTGTGACAACAGAAGGAAGTGATTGGGGGGTGGGACTACCTGAGATGGGGTCTTAGGTCGACATCTTGTTATTGATGTAATGGATGATGACTGAAGTAATAAATAATTATTTATTTATTACAGGACTGGTCAAAAATTGAATGCATTATAATCACCATGAAACACGTGACCGATAAAGCAGAAAAGAATCCCTATGTGCCTGCTAACAAGGGACCTGTGTAGATATGACTGTAATTCAGAGGTGATATACCAAACGAAATAATAAATAACGCAGTTGGAAAAATCGACTTCCAAGAACTTTTAATACCGGTGAGATGCAGTTCATATTTTCCACAGGACCGGTTGTGATTTCTCGACTGGGAGACGAAGTACCTAGGCTAGCCACCTCTTCTTGTAATTGTCAACTCAACTGCGGTCCTGTGGAGCTAGTTACATTGGTCATTGCTCTAGGGACTTAATTCTTCGTTTTTGGGAACAAGAACTTGATACAAAGAGGCCATAAAGCTGACATTGAAGAATCTTTTTCTACGTGTGTGTGTGTGTGCAAGATAAGCCGGTTCCGCCACTATCGCCACCCTGGCCTGCTGTGGGACCTATAAATTCATAAATCCTCCATTATTTTTCTTAATTTATCTGATAGTCAAATGTTATATTGATGCATATTATCGATTACAGATGCTTTTGAACTGATTCACTGTTACTTAAAACATTATTGTTAACAACAATGGTTCTTTAATTATTATGAATATATATATATATAACTGTAGAACCTTTTGAAGAAAAAGTTATCAAAAAGAATATTCTTTGTTCACTGGACATTATCCATAGTGACTGAGAGGTGAAATAATCACCTGGTTAACAGATGAGTCTCGTAGTCCAACTTGGTACGAGTAATCCTGTAAGTCAGTGGTTTGAATCCTGCCACTAACTACGATTATCATTTCACCTTCAATCAGTACACATTATATATGTAAATCTGACAAAACGGATCTTGAAACAACAACACCAGCATTCTGAGCATTTGTTCAGTGGATTTTTGAACATCTACACAAACTCACTTCAATTACTTCTTTGAGATTTTTATCAAATTGATTAATAGCTACTTTAGTCTGGTCCTTTTTGAATGCAGACAGAGAAGAAAATCTTTTTAGTGATGAGATCAATCAACAAAATGTTTCTCTCCTCATTTAAGTAACAAATGATTACAGTAGGAACGGTTATAAATACTAGTGAACAAGTTATATAATGTATACCTAAAATGATTATATATATATATATATATATATTAGTGGCACGGCGGTTAGGATGCTAGCCGACCATGCACATGGTCCGGGGTTCGATCCCCGGCTACAGGACGCACTCCTTTACCTCGCCTAGCCAGAAATAAAGCTGGTAAAGAGGAAAGGTTGGACATGAGGCTAGCAACCCCATTCTGTAAAAATAATCATCACTGCTACAGAAACTTCAAGCCTCTAGCTTGAAGCCCTATGTTCCACTAGGACCGTGAAGGAATAAAGATATATATATATGCGTTGGTGGTTTAGTGGCAGAATGGTCGTGAAATATGCAAGTAACCCAGGGCTCAATTCCCGGCTGACACAACTCTTAATACTCTCTTAACCGGTAATAAGCCCTGTATACAGGGTAGGTTGGGAGTGAGAAGCTAGCAACCCTGCACCGCAAAAAGAACACTGCTACTGAAATTTCAAAGTCCAAGTCTGAAGCTCTATGTCCCACTCAGAACGCTAAGAAATAATTTATAATATGTACAACTTACTTCAAATCTAACAATGGCAGCATCATGTTGTTTAATAAATCTAGGAGATATATCTGTCTTTTGATTTGTTCGTTTATCTAATTTACAGATAATTGTGCGTAAGCGCACCTCTTTCATACACGTATGAATATGAAGCACAGCCATAAATCCTGGACAAATGATAGATTTATAATCGAGAATAAGTAATTGAGCATCGAATATATTTGAAACCTGAAGAGTACAAAGAAAAATGAAAGTCAAACTTAAATTTTAGAATAATCTGCAATAAATTATGCTATGTGAATTTGAAATGGCATTTCAATGAAATTGGATTAATATGACGTGCAGTTCAAGCAGCAGTTCAGCCACCGGGTACATGCTTAGGTCATTTTTCAAGTAGGTGTGCATTGAAAGCTACATTTAGGTCAACTCAATTGTGAACCATTCTGAATCATTTCATCAAGAGTCACGAAATGCTGATTCTAAGCGTCATTAGAATCCCAGAACATAAATCTGTATCCACCAACTAGCTTTATACAAAGAGTGAATGACTTCATACAACGACGTTTTCCGAAATAAATCCTATTTCAGCTGATATTGCTTTTCAGGGCAAGATGTAGATCGACATATGGAACACCTGTCCCATACCAATCTCAATCAATGAAGCTCTATAACCCTGCTGGTCAGTTTGTCTGTCTTGCCAAACAATTTGAACCTAACATGACCATTCCCTACTACACTTGTACAAGTAACACCAGCAATTGAAAGAAGGTATTTGTGACCACATACTTTGTATCTTCTAATTTATGAGACCATTCCTCATAATCTTAAAATAAGGTTGAACGAATTGTTGATAATTAACTGGTATCAGCTTAGAAATGACAATCAGGACTTTATCAATAATCATATAATGAGGGATGATGTGATTAATACATCCAAATATTTCACTCCCGATACTCAAAATACAGCTGAGATCACCATACAGTTGACAGAAGTGGCCCATTGAGGAAGTTCAGAAAACTATTTGTCAACACCACTGACTAAGAAGACTGCAGTGTCTGCGTAATCTAAATCAACGGAACTTTTTCTTTTTGGCAAGTCCATCTCTGAGACTTTGTAATCGGCCGGAATAACATCCATCAATATATCTCAGATGTACGCCGGTAACTGTTACCACTCCAGACGATTACTCTTCGTAGGCTGTTACATGGTTGCTTGAATTCGACTAAAGTGTCTTGATTGGTCTGACGTACCCACTACAGAGATAAACACTGCCGTTTTTAAGTTGAGACAAACGGTAAGTTTTAGATGACTGTGAGTATATTTATTGACATCAAACAGTGATGTAGTAAACAAGTCATTATGGTGAAAATTACAAAGAAGAACAGTGGTTAGACTGGAAACAAAACGAAAGATGGCGTGAACGGATGATCATCACATGGCCTATATGGACCATTTACTTATTACAAATAATGAATCAAATAAATAAACCATGTGAAAAATACCAGAGGAAGTGTGGTCACAATGTTGACAAAAACCTTTATTAATGCCATCACGCAATGGTACAACCATAAAACTCGCCTGTATTGATACAGTTTAGGTAACTAAGCTATTGAAAAATTGAGTGTAAATTTTCAGCTACTTGTAAGGAAAATTACAAGCCCAGATGTTGATGCGAAATAATAACTTTAGTTTAAGCACTAAACACTGAACTGTATACAATGAACTCAATTGCTAGTAAGCAACTGTTGAGTTTATGTTTACTATGCGGACAAATAATATGATGACAAAAGTATCCAGAATTTTTTTTAAAATAAGATATGTTTTTACGAGTTGATCACGGATTGATATCAGTTAGAGAACCATTGAAAACCAGGGAGTACTGGACAGCTGCTGTTTCATTCTAGTTTGGGAATCATCGGCAGTACGCACCCACCGCCAGGGTTCGAACCCAGGACCTTCCGGTTACAAGGCAAGCTCGTATACCATTCAGCCACTGAAACCCGATTCAATGGCTCATGAATTCTAACTTCTACCAATTCGTGATTTAGCGCGACCCCAACCAATGTCATTGGTGGGACATCCATCCTCACACGTGACATCTGGTTGGACCTCACTGGTCACGACTTCTCACCAGAACTCCAGGAAACTCCATCCTGTAGGAAGTCACTAGCGAGCACCAGATTAATTTTCTAAGACATGTAACACAAATTTGTTGTGAGGATGAGAAACACTAGCTTGATAGAAGAAAAAAGCAGAGACCTTCACTCTTAAATACTTGAGAACTACAGCTGAATATATGAAAATTACTCATCATTAGAAATTAAGTTTTCTCATTATCAAATAACAGCGAGAACTTTCGATTTTTATTTACTAGCGAACGGCTTTTAAAACCGCTCACAGGACAGAATAGAAACAAAATTAAACAGATGTTCCACATATACTTTTTGTAACTTCTGACAAGTCAGTTTTACACCTTTTGAGGAGCAATTATAGACCAACTTTTTGATTTGTCTTTGTGTAAGTAGTGAACATATATGATATATTGTTTACCAAAATTGCAAGTAGTTATTAGTGTGAAATATTTCAAACAAAACTACTATTTGTATTCGAATATAATCATTGTAAGTTACCTGACAGAAATTATTGAGAGAGCAAAAGCAGAAGCCCGGACTGATATCTTCCTCATCAATATTCTTTAATTTGAGCTTGCAGTGTTCTCCAGCAGCAGCGCAGTTAACCTCAACATCGCCTACGAATACCTTTTCAATTAGACAAAAATGCATATAACGAAATTAAGTAAGAGAGAAAAAGGGGGGGCAATAATGGCTTTCAAATGAAATGGTGTACAAGGAAAGTTTCTTTGTAAAAGACAATGAATTTGTAATACAAACTAGAAAATATTGGTATCAGGATTTAGCATTCATCGTCTTAGTGAAGATGTACTTGAAAGGTGTAAAGTATAGTTTAGGAAGAATTTGTTAACTGTATCTGAATATTTTAACTGTTAGGTTTCCCAATACACCATTGTCATAAAATCATATTAAGAATTAAGAATCCGAGTGGGCAACTATAAGTAAATATGAAACGTTATATCAACAACCCCTTTTAATCACTTTGCCAAATTAAAATGTACGGCGATTAGTTGAGCATGAAGTAAAAATACAAGAATTAAATGTGTTGAAATTTATAATAGCAAAATAAAAATCTATCAATGGAAATTTATATTAAACTGTGGTAACATGGATACAATTTCAGCTCATCTAAATTTACCAGTTAAAGTAATAACGTGTTACATACGAAACATACTCAAATTAACTCGTACAGATAAAATGTCAATGGAATATCGCCTGTATTCGGTAGAACAGAAAACAAAAGTAGGCAAGGTTCAACTAATGAGTCATTCAGTAAGAATAAAAAGATTATCATGAACATTTTAATGTTTGAGATCTACACTTTTTGTAATTTTAATTTCATAAAGTTCATAATATAGAGAGTTGAATGAGAACTAACCATAGTATACAAAAGTCAAGATGTATGTAGTATTACAAAAAACAAGGATGTTTACTAAGTAATTGCCTCTATAATAGTATTCTTGACTGCAAATCGTCATAACCACAATGTGCGAATCAAACACTAGATTTTGTGCCAAGTTATCAAAGTTCAGTAGCAACTCTAGTGTACAAAATTAGTCAATACATGTGTTCGATTACATAAGAAGTTTAAGATAGGAAACAGTTCCATATTTTTCAACAAGTAGCAAAAATAGTTACCTGTAAGCCAAATGGCAGGCAAAATCAATCTTATAAAGGTACTAAAATCTGAATCATAGTACTGAAGAGTATCAATGCTTTAAACTTTAACTATAGAAGTAGAAATTCGAAACAATGGTATTTAAAATCAAACTAAAAAGCAACAAGTCTTACCTGCATGACTTCGACGTTCACTCTGTTTGGCATCAACACTATGGTTTCACCTTTTGTCACTGATCCAGATTCGACTTTTCCAGAAGCGTACGTACCCATGTCCTTGTATCTGTCAGTTACAGTAAGCCTCAAAGGGCCATCTGTTTTTCGAGAGAAACTAGGGAGACTATCAAGATATTCCAATAAACTCGGACCCCTATACCACGAGCAAACTGATTCACTGGGGATATCACGAAGGAAAGCTCCATCAAATCCTGAACACGGCATACAGTAAACATCGGTTTTTATGTTAAAGCCGATTTTCTTTAAAAAGGGTAAAATCTTATCTTTGCATTCATTGTAACGGACTTCATCCCATAAAACTGTCGGGTCATCCATTTTGTTGACTACCACAATAAGATGCTTAACACCAGCAGTTTTTACTAACAAAGCATGCTCTCTCGTTTGTCCACCCTTTTCGAACCCCGTTTCAAACTCTCCACGTCTAGCTGATATAACCAATATAGCAATATCGGCAACAGCTGCTCCTGATATCATGTTAGGTACAAAGGATTTGTGGCCGGGTGCATCAATCAAAACGAACCTTTTCTTTTGAGTCTCAAAGTAGGCACGTCCACATTCAACTGTTTTCCCTTTGTCTCGTTCTTCTGGATTTGTATCCAACGCCCAGGATAAATACCAAGACTCCCGATTTTTTTCCTTAGCTTCACGTTCATATTTTTCCAAAGTCCTCTTATCGACCATATCTACAAACATCAGACCATCAAAAATTAAGGGTACCTGTTAGAAACAGTAAGTGGCCGCCAATTGTAGATTTTCCTGCATCCACGTGACCAATGAACACTAAATTAAGTGTATCTTTATCTGGGACAATAGTTAACGTCTAAAAATCTAATTCAAATTCATGGACATGCATACCTTCTTAGGAACCTCTTCATCTTTATCTAAACTGACGTCTGAAGGCCATGTTATATTATAAAAATGTGTACCCACCTTCTTCTTGTACTTCACTAGACGGTAAAGATTGACTTGGAGTTTCAACCTCAGGAGGGATGCTAGGAACTACTTCAGGGATTGGGGGTGGTTTGAAAATAAATGGTTGGCCGGGTATAAACTCAGGAGCATCTACATTCAACTGGGAAAATTTGGTAGTGACAGAACCATTTGTATCTAACTGATCTTCCCACGAAGCCATTGGGTTGGAATGCAGCGCGTGAACGTTACAAGGACAAATAGTGACATAAATAAGTAGGCGAATTCATGAAATTAGGATCGGAACATATTCATTAGGTATATGAGGAGTCTAATATACTAAATGTTATTGGTCCCCACGATTAAAATATTTGAAAAATATTTTGTTCTATGATTTTTTTAAAGAGTAAGCTGGCTAATATATTCAGACCAAAAATTTTCATGCACTGCAAACCTGTTGCAGAAATTATTTAAACTGTATCGAAAATGGTGAGTGTTTTTTCAGATGATTTTTACTGCCAACACGGTGGATAATATATCAGTGTTTGTCTTCAAGCGAGGCTAAATAATAATACATCTTTTGATTTGCAATTTAGAAAATATTTCTAAATGTTTTACTGTAAGCAGTTCTCCCTCTAGGCTATCACACCACTTATTTGCTGGTACTCTATTGTTGTAGTGAGACTTATGCATCATGTAATCAAAGTTAATAAAAGCATGAAACAAACGTGTGACTGAAGGTCTTTTGCATAGCCAACAACAGTTATGAGTTATGAAGAATGAAGCGTAACATTTCACATACAGTACCCTGCTTGTATTCTTTGCAAGATAGCCATTTCTTTAGTGACAGAGAATAGTTTGATTGAATTTGTAAAAGATCATATCTCTGGCTGTAAATAATTCCCTAAAATTATACGCCTGCAGCCTTCATAATCATTCAACATGAGATGCCGACTTTAACTACTTGGGCCCATTTGTTAGGCTGGAGTTACGCTGTCAAGCAACCCCATCGCACAACACAATGTTGCTTTTCTGTGCCAGTGACTGATCCCCAGTAAGTTGACCACATGCAGCTTAATAGAATCTACCCAACCTGACGTTTTGTTTTGGCTTGCTAGATATTGTCTGGTCACATCGAATAATTATTTTACAGATCGGAAGATTATACTCTCACACTTTCCTATCGTATCTTGTATACCCGTAAATATTTATCAACTAAATTTCCTTAGAACTTATGGAGAATTTTGAGCTGGGTTATTTACCTCAACCAGATAAGTAGTTATAGGATCCAAATAAGGGATCGGTCAATTCGTTAATAAAATGTCACTTCAATAATAATGCCCAAACGTAACGTGTGCAGACTACATTTTTTATTTGATACAATAGGTAACTACGTGTCAAAAATGTTCGTAAAGGAATTTCATCGAAATCCGAAACATGTGATTTTAATCATATTCACAGATCAGTAAGAGAAGTAGCCTTCATTCATTCTGAGTAATACGGAAGATTCCGTAAAACCTGATGTTAGATCTACTTCCAGAAAAATCGGAAACGAAATAATCATTCGGGGGTATATTATTAGGCTATCGGATGTGCAGATAAACGGCAATAAATATACTACTGATGCCCACAGACTAGTGGAATTTAATATAGGCCAGAAACGGGTAGTGAGACAATGAAAGTAAAAGAGTTCTACCACAAAGAGTTATGTGTTTCGATGCGTACGTCGACGGAAGGACGCGCATGCATGTATGGCTGCAGGTAATTCCCAAGTAACCATACTTCTTGAGGGACAACTACAGACTTAAGGCCAACCTAAATGTTGGCCTCGAAAGGAAGGAATATTATTGACGGTTGTATTCGTGGTGAATATAATTGGGAAACAAGCAACTGAAATTTAGAACAGCCCACCATAGCTAATAATATGGCCTCAACAAAAGTCCCCACATCGTCTATGGTGAAAGTATGATACATTACAAGCAAACATATCAGTGGCCATGATAGCAACGACAAGAATAATTCTCTTAACGTATCGGGGATAGACGACGAAATACAATGCTACAGTGTCAAGCAGCTAAGGAGTTTGGCTGTATCGCAATCTTAAACGTTCTTCCAAAGCAGTATAATCACAAGGCCTTGTCATCGAGTGATTATTTTTTGATTTTATGGCATGATTACATTTTAGTAACATCCATGAATAAATCAACATATCTGGATGATTTCCACTGGAATTTTTGTATTGAATGGAAATTAGATATTCCAATTTAAAGTCTCATCCAGTGAATTATATACGTGTTCGCATTATTCATTCGTGAAACGGTCAATGATCAGAATCACCCAAACAAAGGTGTTCTGCCATTGAGTAGGTATAGGCTCCCTCGTGGAAATCCTAGAAGGATAACTCATCAGAGGGCAAGGAACCTGGCGCACTCCCACTTCTTTTCCCTGCGGATTAGCCGTCCCTGGAATTCCTTACCGGCAGATGTAGCTATGGCACCGTCTGTGGACGCCATGCAGTGATACAAGGACTGCATCCAAATGGTCTTTCCCCTTAAAATCTCATACACCGTTCAAGGGCAGGCAATTAAACTTGTCGTTTTACTTCTTTACATTCTCTTGCGTCTTACTCTCCTGACAGCTTTAACTACACCTATTATTATTATCATTGTTTCCGGTAAATATATATGTATACTGGTTGACTGACTGTTGTTACGTTTTCTTATTCTTTTTCTGTCTCTTAGTCTGAATAACTTCACTAATTATATCTGTTATTATCTCTTTTCTATTGAAGACAATACCGAAAGACTAACTGGTGAAAGGATCAACTCCATTCACAGTAGTAACAGTCTTAACACACCTCATACTACAAACCACATATGATTAATCCCTGCACTACTCCTTTAGGAGTCAACCAAAGCTGCGACAGTCGAATGGCGGGACGAGCTACACAGACGTTTACCGAAGATCAGGAACCTCTACCTCACAATCATGAGGCGAGCACAAAGAAATCAAATTTGTTTATACTAGCTCGTAAAAACGATGTTGGATATTGGACAGTAATTGCTTAGTCTCAGTGCTCTGATACAATTATGATTCATCAGCAATATCCCGGATGTCTTGAAGTGATACTTATTTTGAAACAGATCGAGTACTTACTTGCAGTGAACTAAGAGGAATGGTTTAGACTTCAATATATCTTTCCTTCTTTCTTGAACTAGAGCCTTCAAATCCATTGAAACATTGAAATTCATGATCGCACTTTTTAAATTGAAGGCCAATCGTGATCTAAAGTCATAAGTTGGTGTGAAGGTATGTTGGTTTAGCAAATTAGTCCATATATAGTATTGGCTTACTTAAAGGCTTCGTCTTATCGTTCTTCTAGGTCTTATCTTGAAGCTTAAATGTATCATATTACGCCAAACTTTAGATGAAGGCAGATGTCTGAATAATTACTAAGAGGGCGAAGTTAAAGTATCATAACCAAAGTCAATCTATTTCGAAAGTTGACCTTCAAGAACCGATCGCACACGGAGTGCTGTGAAGTGTCGCTTCAAATCAAATCATATCGACTTTTTTGTACTTGGAGAGGATAGATTCATTATTCTACTAATTTACTAGTTACTTTCTGCAAATCTGTACTGTTAGGTAGGGTAATGGCGTTTAAGGTTTAGGGCCAAAGTTATGATTAGGAGTTAGGAATATGGTGGGAGTTAGGAGTAGGTTGTAGAATAGTGTCAGAAATATCAATGGGCCTCAAAGTACCGTGACCTACAGTCATCTAGATGAGTAAGTACATTGCGCATGGTACGATTTCTCTATAGGTCGTCTGTGTATTAACTGAGACATTCTTGCGACACAAGCTACAGCTCTACAGTGTGAAACCATGTTTGCAATATTTCTTAGTGTATTTTTCAACGATTTTGCGACGTTGTGCCTGAATTGGGATTGGTTGTTCAGGGTCACCGTGGTTTTGGCTATGATAGTTTAAATTTGCCACTAAGGGTACCTATTAGATCGAATTTCGCACTTTTATTGAGTGCAGAGGATACAATTTATTCATGTTCCGCGCAATGACACCCTAATTTTTCTCACTTTCCGGGTGTTCAAGACTCCCTTATATTAACGACATGGGCTCCACCTATCTACTGGTGGGATACAAATTGTTGCACATAGTAGTTAGTTCGTAACTCATTACCAGAATTAACGGAATAAAATCGCCAATCTTTTCAGTTAGAAATATACACTGCAAGTAATAACGGGCTCCCAGAAACCTGTCCTTCTACTTCCCTGAAAACTGCATATTCCGATGTACTATCGTTGTCTACCGATGCCAGTACACTGAGTAAACAACTTAATAATGAAGTAAAAATAGAAATTACACCATGCACGCTCAGCAGACCCTCGGTAGCTGCCAATTAGTGATGAACTATAAGCCTCTTACGGTCAGAAGTTATTATAACTTGTGGTATTTACCTTCGTGTCAATCAAGTAATTATTGTTCAAAAGTAGAGAAGGTTATCCACTAACATGACAGTGTAGTTAGATGGCTAGAACTCAGTTACACGAAGGAGGTTCTTCATGCACTAGTATGCAGGCCATACTTATTATCTTAGGGATCATAGTTAAACTTATTTACTCTGGCTAAACTGAAGGAGAGACACTCCTCATTTCCCGTTATTTTTCAATGTTTCCTTTTCATTACAATTTACGCACTACTTTCTGTATTTCTCTTCTACAGCTGAATATCCCACGCAACTTAGCCGCATGTAGTTAATTAAATCAGTCTCTGGTTAAGGCTTTCGTTAACGTACTGGGTTTTGAATAGATGGATGTGGACAGACAGTAGGTGTAAATATCTAATAAGACGGTAACATCCACTTATATTCATAGCTTTTAGAAAAACCTAAGTGAGCAACTGCACCAATCGTTCCTATAATGAGGAGAGATTTCGGCACAGACTGCTAACTCAAGTGTATTATCATTTCATGAGCGCGGTTATAATAAGACAATGTATAATCAAATTATAACGGGATAGATATTGTCAGGCCGAGTTTTCTGGGTAACTATTTGGAAATTTAAAACATATTAGAGAGAAGGCCTGCTTGTCAGAAATTGTGCGTCTTTAAATTTCTCAGTGGTAAACACCTTAGTGATCGGGAAAATTTGGCACCTCATTGAATTGACAGTTAAACCGTCGTGAAAATACGCAACTATCCTATCACAACCTCGTTGTTATGGCTTCTAACATGATCCCCGGAAAACTTTCTCAGACCACTAGGATTATTACTACATTATTGTCATTACTATTATTTAAAGACATCTAACGTGATATCTGCACCATGAGCTATGCCAGTTGATAGTAATAAGCAGTGGGGTGGGGGACCGGTGAGTATACTTATTACGTAAATCGAAGGCGTAGTACATTACTTCCTTGTAGTCTCAGTAATCGAATAAATAAAAAAAAACTAACATCAATTTAGGTCCTAACCCGTTTCAGACTCTGTTTCAAGTCTTTGAGTCGTATGGTTTATCATACATTGCTTGGGGAGTTGTAACCCAACAGCAGATACTAACTGAAAACAGTTGTATTTTCATGACGCTACATCATGAGTTGATCATCTTATTTCTGAACAATTGTGCAGTGTGGAAGCTGCTGAGATGAAATTCGTAATTCACATGTACACTTTGAAAGGCGCTAGTCCAAGATGACATAATTGATTGAAAGATGATCCCCACAATGTTCGAAACGTGTCATCAGATGACAGTATTGCTTACACTATGTCATTTACTCCTACGAAGACGACATTGATCAAACACACAAGATTGCCACTGTTGTAATCTTGCGATTTATTCACATGCATTAGATAAAAAGTATTTTTCTTCACTATTTTCAAAGAACCCAGTTGTTCAGATATACTATCGATCAGCTTCCCTGCCTGAGTTATCTCAGAGGTAAACCTAAGTCTGGTGGTTGAGATGCATGAGTCTTAAAATTAGAACAGTTTTCTGTAAGTTGAAAAATCCTTTGCTTGCCTGGAGGTGACTGTAGTTCAGAGGTAGTGTGTAATTAAGAGGGGCCTACGGAGATGGCAGATTTACTCTGTGACTTTTGCTCTAGAAAGTGATTATTTTTCGTAGCCATAGTCGTTATTCACGTAGATTTACAAAAACCGCATGTGAATAATGCTTCTTTTTTGTGTACCTAGACGTCAACGATTTTTATCAATTTGATGAGAGTAATTACCCATCACTACTTTTTGTTTATTTTCCAGTTTTTGACTCAAAGTTATGTTAAAATTTATTTTTCAGGCCGGATATCTGACCATTTTGTTGGAAGTATCTAACTTGTTTCCTTAGGTCCATGTTTATTATCTCCTTCTTGATAATATTATTTTTTGATCGCATATATTGTGAAGTTGTTTGGGCAGTCAATTGCGGTGGTCCAAAACACATAGATTCCTATGGCGTTGAGTACAAGGCTGATTTTTTAAACAAGGGTACTGCATCAGACTATGGTCGTTCCTTCACGATAAATCGCGTTGCTTCAGAAGACCATATACTTTATCAAACTGAACGTTATCACAACGAAGATTTTTCCTATCCTATCCCAGTTACTTCCGAGGGAGACTATGTTCTAACATTGAAATTCTCAGAAGTTTGGTTCACGGAACGTCACCAAAAAGTAATTCCCCAAACATATCTTTTAAATTCATTTCTATTTTTTCCACTGATATGTTCATCATATCTGTTTATATATCTTTGAATTGGTTTTGAAGTTTTGTTTTCCATTGTTCAGATGGTTAGTAGAAAAGATAACTAGAGTTTGCTACTTAGCCGATAACTGCTACCTTGCCGTGGTGGTCGGGCTTGAATGCCGCAGTGACCCAACAAGCTAAACTGGCTGGGACTCATGTCCCTGCAGGTCCTACCATGCCAGGAAGGTTGTTTGGATAGCGGTTAGACTAAAAGCAGTTACCATGGGGTACATGGGCTCCAGTTTCCAATTGGATCGAATGGCGTATGAACCCATATGGGTCACCGGCAACCATGGGAATGCAGCTCCTGACGCTGCTCCGCTGCCTTGCGGATTAGACTCCAAGTCAAAGGCTCGGGGGGTGGTCCCTTAATAAAACCACCTGCTTCGGTCTGGGCGCCCGGGCAGTATCTCAGCCCGCACACAATGAATGAATTGAAGCAACGAACTCTCATTGAAACTCAACGCGCGCTAGTGAAAAATGATTCCAAGCAATATTGATCCCTCAAGCAACTTATTTCCTTCCTATCTTACTTTTATTTTTACACATAGTTTCCTGTATTTTACCTTTGCTAACCTTGGCTTCTTAACCTTCGACAGCCTTTCGCCTTTGTCGAGATTCCCAGCCTATCCGTGTCGTTTCGAGATGTTAGTGAGTAGTCCTCAAAATGGTTGTTCCCAATGCGACTTCTAACACAGATATCCTGAAACCGCGTGCTGCGTTCAAGCTGGCTACCTACAATGTTCGGACGCTGATGCAAATCGGACAACAGGCAGGGTTGGCAAGAACTTTGGAAAGCCTCGCTATCGATGTCTGCTGCATTTCGGAGACCCGCATTCAAGATCCCAGTGAAGTGCTTCGACTATCCTCTCCATCTGGAAGTTCTAGTAGTATGTACCACCTGCGCTTATCCGGGGACCCTGTGGCATCGGCATCCGGCGTAGCTGGTGTCGGTGTCGCACTGAGCGCTAGAGCCGAAGCTGCACTGCTCGACTGGATTCCCATTAACAGTCGTTTATGTGCTGTGAGGCTGGAAGGATATACGAAAGTAAGGAGTAGTAGGCCAGATAGGCGGTGTCTATTTGTTGTCTCTGCCTATGCACCGACGGATTGCAGCCCGGATGCAATGAAGGATGAGTTTTACTACCAACTGAGCGATCTGTTGAAACAGGCGGGTCGGAGGGATATCGTAGTGCTAGCTGGGGACTTGAATGCACAGGTCGGGCGTCTAAGCTCAGAGGAGAGTCGTCTAGGTGGTCAGTGGGGACTACATGGTCGCAGGTCAGATAATGGGGACCGTCTTCTGCAGCTTTGCGCGGATCACAACCTATTTCTAGCCAGCACCAACTTCCGGCACAGCCATCGCCGTAGCGCTACCTGGCGTCCTCCCTCTGCGAAGCAAGCTTGGACTCAGATTGATCATATTGCGGTCAGTTTCCGGTGGCGAGGATGCATACAAGACTGTCGCTCCTTCTGGAGCACATGCCTGGACTCCGATCATGCGTTAGTGTGTGCCAAGTTCGTCTTGCGATTTGGTGGGGTTCGTAAAAACCGTCGTCTAAGCGTTGATGTGAGCAAACTAGTAGCACCTGCTACTTCTTTGAAATATCAGAATGAGTTGAAAACAATGCTTGCCAGCAACCCCCCAAGTAGTATAGATGAACACTGGCTTCATGTGCAAGGTGCCATGCAAAAGGCGAGTGTAGCCGCTTGCGGCTTGAAAGAATGCTCCGCTAACAACCACTGGGTTTCTGCGAGTTCCTTGCAACTCATGGATGAACGCCGGTCCATTCCGGCTGGCAGTGAATACAACAATCAGCGAAAGGCGCTCACGCGCAAGATTAGACAGTGTTTACGTAAGGACCGCGAAGCCTGGTGGTCAGAACGTGCGTATGAGATGGAGTCAGCTGCTGCATCTGGCAACAGTCGGAAGCTGTTCCAACTCATACGAGCCACCGGCAGCAAGAAACAAGGTGTCAGCGAGACGGTCTGTGAGGCAGATGGCACTCCAATTACCAGCCTGAAGAGACGCCTGGAACGCTGGGCAGAGCACTTCGGGAAGCAGTTCAGCTGGCCACCAGCTTCATTGTCTACTATCACTAGCCCGAGTGCTCCTTGGTCGGTTAGTACCGACCCACCCACCGAAGCGGAGGTCCGTAAGGAACTCCAAGTTCTGAAACGCCATAAGGCGCCCGGCCCAGACAAATTACCCCCGGCTCTTTTTAAAGAGGGTGGCGAGACTCTCATAATGGCTCTAACTGGGTTGTTCAGGAGGGTGTGGGAGACAGAGAGCGTACCATCAATGTGGAACGAAGCCATTATCGTCCCCATCTTTAAAAAGGGTCGACGTAATTCGTGTGACAACCATAGGGGTATCAGTCTGTTACCAGTTGCGTCTAAAATATTGGCTGCTGTCATGCTTCGCAGACTGTGCAAAATACGTGAAGGATTGATTCGCGAAGAGCAGGCTGGGTTTCGTTCAGGTCGTGGATGCATTGATCATGTGTTCACCCTTCGTCAGTTGTTGGAACACCGCCACACGTATTGCAGGCCAACGATCGTTGTGTTTCTTGATATTAGGGCTGCCTTCGATTCGTTGGACAGAACTGTGCTCTGGAACTGTCTGTTAGAGAGAGGTGTACCTGAGAAATTTGTTAACATCTTGAAAGCCCTATACAGAAACACCTCAGGTAGAGTGAGGGCATACAACCAACTATCACCACTGTTCCCAACCAACAGTGGGGTTAGACAGGGTTGCCCAATCTCGCCATTTCTCTTTAACTTTGCCATCGACGACATTCTGGAGTCAGCTCTGAAGGATGTGCGTGAAGGTGGTGTAGATCTGCTACCTGGAGATAGACTTTTCGACCTCGAGTATGCAGACGATATCGTCTTACTGTGCGATGGCATGCAGGCTGCCCAAATCGCACTTAATCAGTTGGCGATCAGTGTCTGTAAGTATGGTATGTGCTTTGCACCATCTAAGTGCAAAGTACTGTTACAAGATTGGCAGGAGCCTGTACCTGCACTCACTCTTGCGGGTGAACCGCTTGAAGTTGTCGATAAGTTTGTGTACCTAGGTAGTTGTGTGAGTGCTGGCGGAGGGGTGACGGATGAGATTTCCAACCGTATAATGAAAGCTAGGGTGGCATACATCAACTTGAGCCACCTCTGGCGCCGTCGCGACGTTAGCCTGGCTGTCAAAGGTCGGGTATACAATGCTTCGGTGCGGGCTGCGCTGCTCTACGCCTGTGAAACCTGGCCTCTCCGAGCTGAGGATGTGAGGCGACTCTGCGTGTTCGATCACCGCTGTCTCCGCAGGATTGCTTGCGTTCGATGGCATCATCGCGTGAGTAATTCTGAGGTTCGGCGGCGTGTGTTTGAACACAGTGGAGATCACCATTCATTGAATGTCGTCATCTGGAAACACCGGCTCCGGTGGCTTGGACATGTGCTGCGAATGTCACCCCAGAGGCTTCCGTACAGGTCTCTGTTCGCTAGCCCTGGGACGGGATGGAAAAGGCGGAGAGGTGGTCAGCCCATGACGTGGCGTCGTGGGATGAAGGATTTCTGTGCTAGATTAGCATCGGTTGGTGTGTCACGACTCCCTGGTTGGGGTCTGAGAGATAGCTCAAATCGATGGCTCGAAACGTTATCGGATATGGCCAAGAATCGTAATCAATGGCGAATGTGTTGCGATTTCCTTCTTTCTTCCATTCCCGATGATAGTTAACGAACACTGTTTGAACCTGTTAAGAATGAGTGTTTTCCTTCCAGATGAAGTTCTTTATTCGTTCTCTACTTATATATATTTTTTCTTTTCCTGCCTTCCTTCCTTTTTTTTCATCTATGTTGTTTTATTATTATTGTGTGGCGCATCCTTCTTGGTGCCATATTGTACCAAGTTCTAATGCGTTTAAATAAATAAATAATAATAAATAACTTAGACGATGAAGTGAAACTTATGTTGTTACTAATAATGTTTAAGCATCCAGTGTATTAATAAATATTTGGGCTTTAGTTGTACTTATATTCCAAATTTAAGAGGTTAGCCGTAGGTAATAGGTGTTCACACACCAGCGTATAGAAAAGTCAGGATAGTTTAATTGTCAATCTTAGTTAGTACAATGGAAATAAAAATTAATTGGTAAAGGTGTTGAGCTAGTTAATTGTCAAAATTAACACTAATTTCTGTTCTTCGTTAATGTGAACATCGTTCTATAGTTGTCGCACTATGTCTTACTAATAAACATCTATTGTTTGGTTGTCAATGCAAAACTTATAGAACATACAGTGATATCACCTTGATATGGTTATGAGCAATAAAGTGTGCTTAAAACGTCATCAGTAAACACCACTGTATAACACCGCGAGACTTTATCAAAACAAATTTTACCCATGATGGAACTATACTCTACCACAGTGCACACGTTTTATTCTTATATTAATAATTGTGTAGAGTGGACAAAAATCCAATGGAAAGACGATAGTGTTTTTATAAAATCTGTATGTGAATGCAGTGTTATTAATAAACAGTAATAGAGTGATAATAAAATAAGGATAATGCGAATAATAATGATAATACAATAATGCTAATAATAATAATAATAATAATAATGATAATAATAATAATAGTAAACTTACATAATATAATGAAGCAAAATTATAGTAAGATGATTTATTACCATGACTTGTGCTGCTTGTAGAGTTGGAGCAAATGGAATAAGCAACAGAAAGTAAAAAACAACTTATCTTAAATACATAATCCTGATATTATTAGCAAACAGCAAACTGAATGCACAATAAAATATTTTGTTTTTGTTGATAGTACTTTGTCCTAGTAAATATTACATCTGTTTACAGCAGTTTTGTTTTGTACACTATGACTAAATGGAGCTGAATAGTTAGAATAAAATTATGAAGACTGTTGGTATCAGGAAAGGTTGCTAAGTTGTTGATGTACAATAGAATAACTACGTACAAATTCTAGTTTCCTTGAAGTCCATGAACAGCTTGGTTCCTACAAATTAGCCCATTAATTACAACTGTTAGTTTCCAGTTTACCTGATTTCTTTTTGCCTTCATGAAGATCAAATTCTTTCTTTTTGGTTAACTACTAGAAGAAAAATCCACTGTAAATTAGTAGTGCATCCAATCATTATGTTATTTTATTAACTAAATGCAGATGATGCATTTTTAATGGATTTTTCCAAGTTTGAATTCATGATCTACACTACAAGGGATTCTCTCTCTAAAAATATGCATGTTTTGATCATTCAATTACGTGAAATACACCTTTCAATTTCCAGGCAATGAGCAGCAATTATTGTTGTCGGTTAATGTTACTATTCAGCTGCCTAGACTGAAGTAGATGGATCTCAATTCCAACCTGGAACCTACTGTCTAAAAGTCAGTTGCTTCAACATACGAACCAAATCTCCGCATACACATGTACACATATAATTTAATCTCAGTATAGTTATAAGCAGTAAACTGGACTTGATACCTGTTTAGTAAATGATAACACTGAATTGTATGAATTACTCTGGTATGCAATTGAGCTGATACATTTAAAACACATACAGGTTTCTCTTTTCAAAGAAGAAAATCTGCACTTATCTACATATATATCCTCATATATACCACTAGTTTAAAAAAAACCAGTAGAATTGCCAACATGTACATTTTCCAGGATTTATTCTTAAAATTTCCACTAATATGCAGTTAATTTATATCTATAGTTTGGTTTGTAAGGGTTAGTTATGTTTTACGATTGGGTGCGTACTGCCGACGATTCCCAAACTAGGATGAAACAGCAGCTGTCCAGTACTCCCTGGTTTTCAATGGTTCTCTAATTGATACCAGTCCGTGATCGACTCTCTTCTAACTTCAAATGTTTATTGGTCTTAATTTGGTAGGTAGATGCTTTTAGTGTGATGAGTGTAATTATTTAATTTGAGACGACAGCATCTTTCCTGTCAAATGTCAAAGCGACTGCTCTAAACTTAATGGCTTTCTGTCAGAAATCAGCCAGTGGTCCAAGGAAAATGGTCTTACCTTAAACCCCTCTAAATGCCAAACAGTCAATTTCACCTTTAGGCATAAATCCAACCTAAACAAACTGGTTGGCTCTCACGAGGTATGCAACATAGATGGCACTGAAATAGAAACCAAGTCGGAAATTGAATACTGAGGCGTCATTCTATTTGCTGATCTCTCCTGGTCGTCTCATATCTTGACGATTTCTAAGAAAATATCCCGTCTTACCTTCTACATCAAGAAGTTAAAACATTCTGGTATAACCCAACCCTTACTCCTACAATTCGTTAATTCTCGTATCCTGCCTATTATTCTCTATTGTTCCCCCTTAGTTTTTCCCGGGCTACTAAAGAAAGACTATAACATATTACGCAGGATGTTAAAGGTTGTCAGCAGGGTAAGCAACGTGCCACTTAACCAGCTTGTTAATATTCTGGTTGACAGGCACATGGACTCATGTAAAAAATGGGTCAAATCCATTTCATCTAACTCACACCACCCTCTTCACTCAAAACTCTCCCCTTGTATCTCATCAGGTAGGACCAGAAGCCTATATAGAAAACTATGTGCTCGCACCAGCAAGTACAAAAACTCAACCATACCCTACTTAGCTCGTGTTCTGTGCGATAAAGAGAGCATTAGGCGTGACACCTATAATTCATTGAATAGTCAGTAGAACAACTGGACCTCGTCTTTCCAACTCATATCATTTATAGGTACAACATTTTCTTTCTTTCTTTTCCTTTTCTCTCTCTTTTTTTCCGTTTCTTTCTCTCGCTTACGCCAGTAAATATGATAGCACCTACTTTTCTAACACCTTCAAACACTGTTCAGCTTTGGCTTTGCTACCGACATGCCAATATTTTGTTGTCATAATGAACAGAGATTTCCTTAATCCATGTAGAATTTTATTTATTGATAATGTACTAATTGGATGCAATAGTGTAGTAAAAATGCTGAAAATTCCATTCTGTATCACAAGTACTGTTTTGGAATAAAGCAAATTATTATTATTATTATTATTATTATTAATAGTAGCAATGTTAGAACAAGCAATTTTCACAATCAAAGTCTTTGGTTTAATTTTAATCACACAATTTATGAAATCAATAATAATTTTATTTTTTTTATTACTACATATATATCACAATTCCGTAGTATTCATTTCACCCATTATTTATATCACGTTTAATTAACTGTAAAACGTTTCTTTTGCAAACCTGAAGTTTCGTAATCAGAATAGAAAGTGAATTGTAGTGACCCTGAATCATCATTATGATCGTAAATGGATTTATTGATTTTATTTTAAGAATGTATAATATTCATGAGTCGTACTCACAATTTCATTCATTCAGATATCATTTTTCACTCTTGTGTCGATAACTGATTGATTGATAAAATTAATTGACTGAAATGCAAATGTCACTGTATGACTTCTGTGTAATTGTTTTTATATAACAGAACAAAGTGAAATATTGTACAGAAGTGCATCAGTTCACGTTACTCCCGTTTTTATTATTATTATTACGCCCGTGGAATATGAGGCTTCATCAGTATATCTCCATTTCACTCTTTTCTCTGCAATCTCTCTTTTTTTACCTAACTCCATAATTGCTCACAAGCTTTGACTTCCTCCTTTTCTATTTTTTTCATTGCTTTTATCTGTGTTGATCTCTTTCCGAATAGCGACCTGGTTATCTTATGTAGTGTTCTGAAGTCTCTCTTACCTGTTGGGTGTTTTCTGCTTCACTTGCTACTATGCGGCAAGATTGTATTTCATCTTTACTGGCACTCTTCTTCACTTATTTCTTCTATGCGCTGTAGATTGAACTCGGCTTATCTTTTTGTTCTCCATCTTTACACTGGTTCATCTGTTTCATATTGCTGCACTTGAAATTCATATACATAGAATATAGAAGCAAAGATATACAGTGGTATTGCTCCAAGGAGAGTAATTAGCTGAAGATTAGTGAAAATGATAAGGAATAAATCCATCGATGCTGTTGTAAATGATTTTGAGCCGTATCTCGAAAAGCCACCAACGATTTGGTTTCCTTAGCATCCGTAGGAATTCATTAGTAGTAGTAGTGGTGATTTTTTATACTTCCGCAATCTGATAATGTGTTCGGAATATTTTGTGCATGTATTGATTATAGTTACTTTCCTTTAAGTCACTTAGCTTTAATTCTTATAGAATGTCCATCGATTGAGTTGGCTAGCTCAATACTCCTTGTTCGAGGAGCAGTTTTAGCTGAAGTGGGATTTAGCTGGTAGAGTTAGAGGTGATCCGATCAAACTATTACACACTCATTGGTTTGATGAGTTTTATCTGGAAATGTGGACTGCCTAGCTGGTGGTGTCCTTGGGGTGTTAAGAATACATGGTTGGAAGCATAGATCATAATCTGTTATCACTAATACATATGAATTCATTCCTTGTCATTTTCAGAATTCCATAAATCTACATCTAATTGTCCCTTCTGCTGTACATTTTTGTCTGTTACAGTTTTATTACGTTTCTTTCCTCTACTTTTATTTGTGTTTTTCTAAAGTGTGACAACTTGAACTGATGCGCTTTTTTTGTATTAAGTTCTTTAAGAATATGGTTGCAATTACGCGTCTTTTTACTAACTAACCGCCATGCGTGCTTGTGTGCATGGTAGTCATATTATGCGTCGGTGGCACAGCGGTTAGGACTCTCGCCGACCATGCAAATGGTCCGGGGTTCGATCCCCTACTGACGCACACCTGATATCAATTGGTCAGCCTGCAAAATTTGGGCTACCGATATCACAAATGCTGAAAATTCCATACTTGTACCAAAAATACGGTGTGGAATCAAGTCATAATTTTAAAAAATGTAACCTTTAGAGTTAATAAACTCTTAGCTGTCTAACTCCTTTCTGCTCATATGGTTATTTCTTTTTAATGGCTTATAATTCGAGTATTCTTTTGTCAACATGAACAGTGTATATATATATATATATATATATATATATATATATATATAATCACTTGTTTTGTCATCAAAATTCACATATACTTACTTCCAAAGTAATTCCCAGTTGATTTAATTATGTCACTTAGAAATTGAATTCTTACTTACAAATTGTGTGATGTGATTAGTTTATAGAAAAAAACTTTCACATAATTCAATATCATTTATTGTAATATAGAAAGAAAGGAAAAACAAAGCGAAAATGTATAGGTTCATGATATTTCAGTATTCTATAATGATATAATTTTCTCTAGTGTGAATAATTGTTAGTAATTGTATCACAAACTGAGATTTCGAGTTTCATTGAAAGAAAAAGAGAGAGAGATAGGACATGTGTTGTGCTTTAGTTTACAAATATTTTATCAGGGCATGTAAACAACAACATTATTGTTACTATTATTAATATTACTGTTGTTTTGTTTGTAATTACTTCAGGTATTCGATATTCTTGTTCAAAATGCATTACCAATTGTTCAAAATTTGGATATTTTCGGTCAAGTTGGTTTTGCTACAGCGCATGATGAGCATATACCATTCAAAATAAAAGGCGGGATGATTCATATTGACGGGAATTCAGCACCGATTGATGGAGATCATTTCACTGTGGATTTTATTAAGGTATGCTGAAATAAATCACAGAAAGGATAACAATTTATTTTTTGTTTTCTATAGACTGAATATGATAATCCAAAAATCAATGCAATTGTCGTTACAAAAGGCAAAATTGATGGTGAGTTTTAAGGAGATTGTTTAATTCAGCGATTTAATTTCATATTGTTTATAAACTATAGATAGCTGATAAGGGGTAGTGTTGTATGCGCGCGTCTCTGGTTCATTGGTAGAATTCTCACCAACCCGCTTACAAGTTGTCTGGGTTTTTATTCCCGACAGACGCACTCCTATAAACGCACTCGCCTAGTTTACTTTTTTTATTCCTTCACGTTCCCAGTGGAACATAGGGCTTCAAGCTAGAGACTTGAAGTTTCTGTAGCAGTGTTGCTAGCCTCATCCCCAATCTTTCCTCTTTACCAGCTTTCTAACTGGCTTAGTGAGGTAAAGGAGTGCGTCCAGTGGCCGGGGATCGAACCCCGGACCAATGTGCATGGTCGGCGAGCTTCCTAACGGCTGTGCCACCGACGCCTAGTTTACTAGCCAATAGTAAATTTGCAAATGACGGAAGGTTGAACCTGAGGCTGTCAAAGCACCTCATAAAGACAACATCACCAACGCTACTGAAACTCAAAGGCTGGATGTCCTATGTTCCACTTCAAATGCAAAAAAATAAAAATTAACCAGAAGATAAGATTTGTGGGTATTTAACACAATCCATCCAGAGAATTAGAAACCAGTAAGCAGCTCTGGAATAAGTAAAAAAAGTAATTTAAGCATAAAAATGTACACAGTAGGATTTCTCCTACGTAATTTATTAAAATACTGAACCTAATAGGGAGGGCATGCAAAATACAAACAAACGGAGTTACCATTCATTGAACACTAAAAATTTCTCGGATTCATTTATCAGATGTGTACCTGTATTGTAATAACTTGCCACCCGCCCCATTTTTGTAATACTCAATGTCTCATTATTAGAGGCATAAGACAAATTCACTGGTATTTGGTAATGTATGTGTACCTTGGACCAATGTATCGTGTATCATTGAATCTCTCTCTCTCTGCACAGACTAAGCCGAACTCGGGAGGAACAAACGAGGGAAAATCAAGCGGGCTTTAGGCCAGGTAGAGGGTGCATAGATCATATTTTCACTCTCCGACAGATCCTAGAACATAGACACACCTTTAGGCGTCCAACAATTGCCATATTTCTTGACTTGAAGGCGGCCTTCGACTCCGTGGATCGAGAGGTACTATGGCAATGTTTGACTGTGAAGGGAGTGCCAAGAAAGTACATTGCACTAATAAGGGCACTCTACTCAAACTCACGTAGCTGTGTAAGGGCTTATGGGGAATTGTCATCTGAATTGATAACAACCAGTGGTGTCCGTCAAGGATGTCCACTTTCCCCATTTCTGTTTAACTTCATCATAGATATGCTAATGGAAGTATCCTTAACTGAACTTAACGACTTAGGAATCGACTTGTTACCAGGGAATAGTCTTATAGACTTAGAATACGCAGACGACATAGTCCTGTTAGGGGAGGACGCTGACAAAATGCAGAGTCTTCTGAACACCTTGAGCAGCACTCTTCGTATGTTTGGCAAGCGATTCGCCCCTGTGAAATGTAAGATGCTGCTACAGGACTGGACTACGTCAACTCCTAGCTTAGTGATAGGGAGTGAAGTGATAGAACATGTTGTCCACTTCACCTATTTGGGAAGTTGTATCAGCACCAACGGATTGATTGGTGACGAAATCTCAGCACGGATCCAAAAAGCTCGGACTGCTTTCGCTAACTTACACCGTCTCTGGCGTAGGCGTGACATCCGACTATCAACCAAGGGACGTGTGTACTGCTCAGCAGTTCGCTCCATCCTTCTCTATGGCGGTGAGATGTGGCCATTGAGAGCGGAAGACATGAAGAGATTGTCCGTTTTTGATCATAGAAATCTACGATCTCTTTCTCACGTTAGGTGGCATAATAAGGTAAGTAATATTGAAGTTAGGCGTAGAGTGTTGGGCAAAGAGGGAAAATCAATCGAAGAGGCTATAAAGTTACATAGATTGAGATAGCTAGGTCACGTGCTGCGCATGCCTAACCATCGCCTCCCCCGACGGACATAACTAGTTGATTGATATAGGTGCAGGTTGGAAAAGAGTAAGCGGTGGCCAAACAAAAATATGGCCTCATCAATCCATGAAATCCTTGACAGTTAAACTGAGTCAGGTAGGGAGATGCAGACTTCCGGGTTCGGGCCCTCGGGACTCTAAGAATCAATGGCTGGAGACAATAGGTGACATGGCTCAAAATCGTTGTCAATGGCTTACGCAGATGTATTCAGTCTCTGTAATCTTTCATATTCCTTTCTACCATTACTCATTCTATTTCACTCTTATACTTGTCTCAATTCTATTGATTCTCTTCACTCATTTTCTTGTCTACCTTTGTGTGGTATTTGGAACGTGGCAACTCGAACTGCTGCACTTTGGTGCCAAGTTCTATGTTGAATCCAGCCAGCCAGTATCATTGAATCTATTAATGAATAACGTCTACACTAGGATTGTAGTCAAATGAGATAGGTCGCCTAACTCTCTAGTCAAAGTTTACCTGAAGTATCTGAGAAAGTCATATTTCAGTCGTCATCAATCCACAATACGAATGAGTACAAAGTAGGATGAAGTATCCATTCACAATGCTCTGTGGTTCTCAATTATCCTCCTACTGATGGTGTTTTCTTTTTTTGTTTTGTTATTTTGATCAGAACTAATTTTGAAATCATTTAATTTAATCAAGTATTTAGATGTATTTGAAAACTTAATCCCTACAACTTTGTTTATTAAAACAATATTTAAGCGTAGTTAAAGTCACCTTCGGACCAACGCCAAACTTGTTGTTTTCCATTCGGGATCCACACGACGGCATTCTCAGCGTGTGATTTCACTTGTAGGTCTCATCAGTAGTGTATGTCCAGTCCATCTTCATTTTCTTCTGCATATTTGCTGGGCAATTGGTTCCTGCTGGGTTGGTTGGTTCGTTTCTAGAGTCCTTTGTTACTCATCCTTTCCGGTCAATTGGTCTTTAGTGTGAAGCGATAGGAGGTATTGATGAAAGTGTATACATCAGGCTTTCGGAAATCCTTTTCGTGACACTCTAAGTCTTTGAAGCATATGAAAGCACAGACTTGACATTAGTGTGCAATAGACCTTCAAAAAGATTTCAGATTAATGTAGGTCTGTCTTGCTTTTCCAATCCCGCCTTTATCATCCACATCTGTGCCGTTCGCAGTTGAAAAATACTGTCTAGTTAAGTGAAAGGAGTGGCTTTCTTTAGGCATCTCCTGATGGTGGTGGGAAATCAGTTGACGAGGTTGTGGAGTTACACCGATTGAGATGGTTAGGACATGTGTTACCCATGTTTAGCCATCGCCCTCCTCAACTGACTGACAGACAGTGTTACCTGACATAGGATCAGTTTGCAAAAGAATTAGTGGTAGTGTTGGTCAAACCAAAACATGGCTTCATCAGTCAATGAAATCTACAACAGTTAGTTTAAACCAGCCAGCCACTTTCGGAGGTGTAGACTGGCTTCCTGGTTGGCGTCCTCGGGATAGTAAAAACCAATGGCTCAAAATCTTTCTCAACTGCTTGTGCCAATGCATTCCTTATTTGCGATTTATAATGTCCAATACAATTCTATTGTTCTGCCATATTACTATTCTTTTTCCCTGACAATTCCGTTTATTATCTCTATTTTGAACCTCTCTTTACTCTCTTCTCTTGTTTTGTGTACTACGTTCTACGTTGAAACCAGTCAGTTAGTCTCCAGTTGGTGGTGATCAGTGCATGTTTTTGTTGGTTAAGTATCTTCATCGCCTCTATCTTCCTTATATTAACTTGAAATCGTGTCTTCGCCGCTTCATCTGCCAACTTGTTGGTTTGGTTTTCTTCTGTAGATCTTCGAGTTTGTCTCTCTGTCTGTTTTCGACATAGAACTTTGCACATATGTGCGGCAGTTCGAGTTTGTGTGACATTATATGTAAATCATCCTCGAAGTCCAGGTCTTCTAGTCTTCTTATCCGCTCAGCGTCTTCCTACCTTCTCTGCCACATAGTTCGGTCCATCACAATCAGAACTATCATCTGTGATAGTAGACAGCCTTGTCTTACTCCTGTCTCCACTTCAATGGCTTTGTGAGTTTTCCGTTGTGAATTACGTAACGTGTAGCATCATCATTACACAGCTGTTGCTAGAGGTTGATAAAGATTTGGTCACTCAATAGTATTGAAGCAGTTTCCCAATTACTTCACAGTTGTGGAGGAGACTTGACTACTAATTCCATTCTCTGTTCGATTATGATGAGTGGCGTTGCAATTTGGTTGGCAAATGATTTGCTTCCCTTGAATCCACCTTGTTCCAGGGGGAGTTTGGGATACAGACCATCGGTGAGTCTGTCCTGGATGATACGGCTTATTTTTTTAATGATTACTAACAAGTGATTCATCTTTTCGTGTACCTGTAGTAATGTAATATGTACATGGTTTCATCACTTATCAAGTGTGTCATACATGGTTATACAGAATTACTTACTGCTCGTTTTAAATAAAAACTATTGTTTCAAGGGATAATATTTAGCCTAACTTTACAATTTTGATACGATTGAGAACAAAAAATAATTGTTCAGTAGAGAGAAAAAACACTGTTTCGTTGTATGATGCATTTGTAACGACAGAAGACAAGGGCCAGGCAACAGATCGTTTATTGGTAAAATCAAGAGATATTTATAGATTTTTGTGTACATTATTATTCGGTATTGTTAGCAGAGAGGTAACGTCTTCTGATTGGTTGTTTTCCTGCTGAAGGTTATTCTGTCATCTATTTGTGGCCGTTTCTTCGACAGTCCGTTGATATATCTGCTAATCGTATCCGCCCACGCTAAGTCTGCTGTGATTGATTGTTGAGTTCCCCAAGGTTAGGTTTTGTTCTTGTTTTTTTCTCATAACCAAGATATGGAACGTAAACATTGACGTAAATTGCTGTCCACCAATTTTTCCTTGCAGACAGCTCTCACCACACACTTATGGAAATAACCAATATAGAATTATGGGCAAAGTTAAATTATCATAGCCAAGAGTACATTGACCTTGAACAACCAATCACATTCAGATGCAAAAAAGTGACAATTGTTGAAAAATAAACTAAGAAATATTGCAAGCATGATTTTACACTGTAGAGTTGTAGCTTATGGCTTGTAAGAATGTCTCCCAGTCAACACACAGATGATCTGTAGAGAAATCATACCATGCACGATATACCCACTCATCTAGGTGACTGTAAGTCATGATACTTTGAGATCCATTTGGTATTTCTGCAACTATTCTTCAACCTACTCTTACTCCAATCATAATCCTAACTGCTAACTGTAAATTTAAGCATAAACCTAACCCTACAACCTGAACCTTAACTTATAAAGCCATAACCTTACCTAACAGTATAGATTTGAAGAAAAAGTACCTAGTAAATAAGTAGAACATTGTATTTGCCCTCCCCAAGTTCAAAAAGACAGGCATGGTGTGATTCGGAGCTATATTTCATAGCATTCCCTATGTGTGATTGGATCTTGAAGGTCAACTTTTGAAAGACCTCGACTGTGACTATTATACTTTAACTTCGCCGAATTATGTGCTACATCACTGTGTATATATATCTTTTTCTTCCTTAGATGTACCTCAGTTACCACCGTTAGATGACGAAGAAGTGGCATCATCTCATAAATTTCGTCAACCTGTTCCACCAGCTGAAAAACAAGAAGCAGCAGCAGAAGAAGAGGAAGGTGAAAAAGAGTCAACTTATAAAAGGCCATCCAGATCACCAAGAGCAAAAGATCCATATGCTTCCATTGACTCTTCTTATCTTATTTTACCAGTCCTGGTGACAATTGGTGCATTTTTACCTATTCTTTTTTGTATATGTAAACTTTAGTGCTAATCAATACCTCAGTGAATTTGATACCGTCTTGTTTTGTTGTTGTTGTAATTATTATTATCACTTTACTTTAAGTAGCATTATTCTATATTGTGTGTGTTATGTATGATTGTCAAATTCTTTTTTGCATTATTTTTCATAACACTGAAATGTTTTGCCCTATTGTGTATAAATTTCTCTTCTCTCTCTCTCTCTCTACTACATATCGTTGGCATTATTGCATAATGTGTTTTCATATGCCACAGTGTTGTTTTGTTCTCTGCACATGCGTTATTTGGAAAGTTGTTGTATATTCACTCTTTCCTCTGATTATTATTATTAGTATTACAAGTTGAACAACAGGTATTGAATTGTTTGTTCAAGTTAGTTTGTGTCTCCTGTTGATTGATTTGACCGAAATCCTCGGCATTTGTTGATATATGAGAGCCTATTTTCGCGGATGCTGCAACGGTGCTTGAAGATTTGACTAACTCCCATTTCGTCCTTTTTGGTACTCGTCACCTGGATGTATCCCAGTTATTGTGTGTATAGCTTAATCAATGTATATGCACGCACACCTTTCAGACAATCTTGTTTTCTAGGAAGGATAAGTAGTTTGTGTGCACTTGTGTGTGTGTGTTAGGATGATAGTCATTGAATGATGGTCTCGGCTATTTGCCTGCCTGTGCAATATTATTATTATTTCCTTTAATTCCTAGAGGATCATAGGGCTTCAGCCGCGCGTCTCCACTGCGCTCGGTTCCCTGCTAGAGTCTTCACCTGGCTCCAAGTCTGCCCACACGTTTTCATCTCCTCTTCACATGACCTCCTCCAAGTCACCCTTGCACTGACGACCAACTCACCGCTTCCCTTCCGGGTTCCACTCGAGCAATGGCTTGTCTAGTGATGTCACTTGATGGTTTCCTCAGAGTATGGCCAGCCAATCCATCTCCATTTCTTCCTGCCTATTTATTTCACAATCGGTTCCTGGTTGGTTCGCTCGTTGCCAGAGATCTCTGTTGCTGATCTTTTCTGGCTGGCCATCTGATCTTGAGTATTGAGCGAAGACAGTTGTTAATGAAGGTCTGTAGTTTGTTTGAGATGCTCTTTATGACGCGCCAAGTCTCTGATCCGTATAGTAAGTAGCACTGACTTCACATTGGAGTTGAAAATCCGGATCTTATTTTCGATGCTGAGCACCGAGTGTTGACCTCCACACAGACTTGAGAGTAGTGAAAGCTTGTCTTGCTTTCCCGATCCTTGCTTTGATATCCTCGTCAGTTCCGTTCTCCTGTAGTTGAAACGATGCTTCCCAGGTAGGTAAAGGAGGTTGTTTCTTTCAGGTTCCTCCCATTTATGCTGATTGTTATCTGTTGTTGTTGGTGGTGTTGGCCAGGAATCTTCATCACCTCTGTTTTCTCTATGTTCACCTGAAGGAAGTCCTATCTTTGATGCTTCTTCTGCCAACTTGTTGCTTTTCATTTGCATATCTTCCAGTTTGTGGGAAATCAGACATATCATCGGCGAAGTTCAGATTCTCCAATTTTTTCGCGTGGGTCCATTTTATGCCTGTTTTCTCACTGCCCGCTGTCTGTCTCATTATCCAGTCTACTGCAATCAGGAAAATCATTGACGATAGTAGGTAGCCAGCTTGTCTTACTTCTGTCGTCACTTCGAAAGATTCCGTAAGTTTCCCGTTGTGGATTACTTGGCTGAAAACCTATGGTTGAAGACTTCATGCGATAGTCCCTCGAGTTGGATTGTAGTGGCACAAATGCATTCAAATAATAATTACCATTTTAATCATTTGTCATAATATTCATTATAATAATGGTATAATTACCATGTTATAATGTGTAAATTTGAATTACTATTGTGTATCTTATCATGTTTTTATAGTCTTTGTCTCCCATCTTATTACTTTGTATTAGATGTACATATGTGACCACTATGAGGCAGTACTAGATCGTGTGTTACTGACATCTTTCCATACACGAGTAACAAATAATTACTGAACGTAGAATGCAATCAGCTATTTGTAAATTTCAAATAGTGGTGAAATTTCACCACGGTTTATTTAGGAAACTTAATATTGTCATAAATAGCGTCTGAAAAGCAAGCAAAGTACAAAACAGTACATACTACCTACCGGTTTATGCAAATTGGAAACTGTCCTCATCAGTGTGTAGTTGCTTTCTAGCTAGATTGAAGTCGTTGAAACGACAGATGACTGTTTCACTTGCTCAAGGTCGAGTTCGTCAGCAACACTGCTGGATTTATACTGCTCAGAAAATCTTAATTATTTCTAAACACACAACCTAAATAAGTTTTAACTACTCATGTCAATCAGTAGTGTGTAGTGCCTTTTGTTACGGTCAAACGAGGAGTCCTACATTACAGTCAGAATATTTTTTGGGTTTCGAAAATAAACTTAAGTGATATTTTACCTCGAACTGTATCACTTAGCAAATAACTAATTGTATTCCATGTGTCAGCAGTATGCCTAAGAATTCGGTTGGTGTTAACTTGTTCAGTTACCTAAGTTCATTCAAACATTGATAATGATATCGATCAGAAGAAGTGCTAAACCTCCGTGAAGTATCCATGTCATCTCAAACTGGATGGGGTAAACTACGAGTAGATGTGAATAGACTCCGGTTACTCATCGACACTGTAGTATGTATCATTTTAACATTAAACCCAATTCAATTTCCTATTCTAGTGCCTGTATTAGGTTAGTTTTATATACCTTTGTAGCAAAGTCGTGTATAAGTTTCTTGTTTAATAATGTAAAGTAATCGAGATGATGAAAATATTTATCGGGCAACCACATATCATGAAGATATTGTCGTTTATCGTTTTTATCCACATCTTGACTAGATCTTTACTATTGAGGGGGGGAAGACTTCGGTCGTTCTCTCGAAATGCACTCATGTGACCACGCGTTCGTAGCCTCTACCAGCTAGGTTCTGTCCACTACCTTCATGCGGTGGAGGTGTTCTTCACAGGAGTGGAAGGGCGGATGCGAACGTCCGGTGCTTCCAACCTGACTAGTGGACATGTGGTTCTATCTAGGGGAGCTGGAAAACCCTGACTGCAATCCTGTGGTGTACATGCACCATAAAATCCGTACAGATCGGATGGCGTATGGACCTGTATTTGGTCGCCGAAACCATGGGAACGCAGCTCCTGACGCTGTCCTACTGTCTTTTGAATCAGATTTCAAGTGAAAGGGTCGACGGGTGGTCTCGTTAGACAACCACCTGCTTCGGTCTGGGAATCCAGCCAGTATCCCAGCTCTTTCACAAACTATGAGCTTTTATGTAACGCACCTCTTGGTCCCCATAATGTACCATATTTGTGCTTTCACTGACAGTGATCTGCTTTATGATTGGATTCACCAACAAACATAATTAATGATCAGTTCAAGTTATTTGGCTGATTTGGCAATTTTTATAAAGTAAACATGCAAAGTGTCCAACCTGAAATTTGTTAGCACTTAAAAGAAGTACAAATCAGCAATTATAAATTATTTTCTGCTGACTTTTGTTGTGTCCACGTTGTACCCTCTAGTGTCGATCTTCTCAGTGACATGGGAAACAGTTTACTGGTGGCAAATCAAAGTCATTGCGAGTCGACTGCTTTATAATAAGTAATCTGTGTAACTGTACAGTTCAAGTGTATTGATCGGAACATATCGATTAGGTGTAGAATACTTAGTCTTAGAGGAGTTAGGTGACCTGACATTATGGTGTACTATAGTATAGCATTAGATGTTTGATTGTCAGGAAGTCCTTGGTATGTTCTTCGTCCTAATTGACACATTGTCCAGTTGATTGATAGATTACTTCTTATTATTCAGGACCTATTAACTGCATTGACCATTGGTTCAGTAACCAAAATATCATATCATTTATTCCTACAGTGGTGACTGTGCTGGTATAATGATAGGTTTGATGTTGTTAGCACTCTATGAGATGAACTCGAATTTATAGGAGGTGACACCAGTTTCCCCAATGTAGCAGATTCACCCTTCTGACACGTGGTAACAAACACAAAATGTCAGTCATGTAGGGTGTCCTATAGATTGATTCTTAATAACGACGAGTATTTAAGTAAGATTTTCCACTTTCATGGATCTAATTATTTTATCCTTTCTTACTGTTAGTAAGGAGGGTGAAGCTGAAATCTTTCAGAACAATTGGAGACAGATCACAATTCAAATTCAACAGTCAGAAATTGAAGGCGAAAACTACAAAGCATACCTTCACTGCAGATATCAGAGCAAAGTTGGAGACATTAAGTGGCATTAGTGGGGAAATCTGCGTCGAGAACAATGGAACTCTCTGAAGATGATGCTCAAGAAAACGTGTACAACTTCTAGGAAGAAAGAAGAGGTAAGACAAGACAAGGAATGGCTGTCAACGGATACCTGGAAGCTAATTGAGGAGAGGAGGATGGTGAAAGACAAGATGACTACTCAATACAAAGATGGACAACAGAAGGAAAGGCTGAGTTCAATGTACACTGCACTGAATAAGGAAGTGAAGAAGATTGCCAGTAGAGACAAAAGACAATTCTACGGCGCACTGGCTGGCAACTGAAGCAGAACAGGCAGGCTGCAGGTGAAAGAGATCTCAGGACATTATATTCAATAACCAGGTCTCTATCCGAGGAGAGATCAACCCAGGTGACTAAAGCGATAAAAGACATTCAAGGAGACCTAATTGCCAATGAGGAGAAACAAATAAAATAATGGTCTGGTCACTTGAAAGGACTCTTGAATCGATCATCACCTGCAACTCTCCCAGAAATACCATCACTAGTGGGCACAGAACCGCCAGTGGACACTAATCCTCCAACAGAAACAGATGTCTTTAATGCGATCAAGCTACTAAATGCCGTCCGGGAATGCAGCAGGAGCAGACGGAATTCCCCTACTCCGAAGCACTGAAAACAAACTCGGAGACTGCGGCAGATATGCTGAAGCCATTATTGCAAGGCGTTTAGAAGAAAGAAAAGGTGCCTACTGAGTGCGAGAGAACCTACCTTGTCAAACTAGTACACAACGACGACTTACGCCTCTGCAATAACTGGCGTGGAATAATGCTCTTCTTCACGCTAAGTAAGATACTAAGTCGCATCATCCTGGAGAGAATAAAAGATGCCCTGGATGCAGAACTCCGTATGAGGGAACAAGATGGATTCAGGAAAGGCAAATCATGTGCTGATCGAATTGCACCTCCACGCATCGTCATCAAACAAAGCGTAGAATAGCAGTCAAACCTCTATAAAAATGTCATCGGCTTCAAAAAGGCCTTCACCAAACAGCGTTGAA